CAGGCCAATGACAGCGGCATTGACAGCGAAGCGGAAGACGGGTGTTAGCACGCACAGACGGGCCAGCCCGGTGACGTCATTCTGTGGGACGGCCAGCTAGCCCACTCCCATTGACTGAAATGCTGACAAATGTTCCCTTTTAAAGTAATCTTTCAGTCTCAGCTCTTCATGCCGAGTTTTTTGATGGCTTCAAGCCACACTAACTGAGCTCTTACTGGAACCCCATTAAATGCGGAAAAATCCTAAAATATTGCTTCTCCATGGAATGCCCCTTGAGTACTGACAGGGGTGCCCAGATTAGGTGTTCTTGTTGTTTTTCACAGAGTACTGACCTTGGCAAGTGATACTGGGGATATAAGCAAATGTTGGTGTGTGTATGATGCTTGTACAAGACAGTTCCACATGTATGCATTCTGTGAGGTGGGGGATATCAAACATACAAAACTGCCATATATGGTTAGTCCCCTGCCCATTTGGGAAGTTAGCCATGCATGGCCTCTACTGGATAAATAGCAGGAAAATCAGAGACAAATTAGATAGTACTATGGATTTGTATTGGGTTGACTGTTGAGGCCATATGGCAGAAAACATGTAATAATGCTGAGTTTTCCATGCATAGCCTGATACAAGCCACTCTTTCAATGAGTCTTGGTCCATCTTGTAAGCACCATTATCACCTGGAATTCTCAGGGACTGGCAGCTCCAGACAGGATCCTAGGCTATTCTGTTCAGTTCAACTCTTCAATAGGCCCTGCAAAGGCAGGCTATTGGGCTGAGTTTGAAAGCAAGCCCAAGCTCATTAGTGACACTGTATTTGCTGTGCTATGGTCTCCCAAAAAACAGTTGGGAATATTGCCAGTCATGTATATAATGTCAGAGAGGATGTACATAGTATGCCTTCCCATGGATTCATATAAACATGGCACCCACCATTCACAAAGCAAAATAAAATACATATTCCTCTGTACACACTGGTTCTTTCACTTTGTTTGTGTTTCCTGTGATGCTTGCCAACTGCCTATGGATTGTGTGGCTATATGAGACCTGAATGAAACCTGCCATATGTGGTACCTGACCTTCTCAAAATGGAAAGTCCGAGTTATCTGCTGTGTCTGGGCTCAGAAAATGCGGATAAAACAAGGGAATATTCTGTATGATTCCACTCACCTTGTACTGCTTGCTATAAGTATTGATTGGCTCATGTCTAAACCCTTTGGCAGGCAATGGCATATGCAGAAAATGGTGAACACCTGTGGCACAAAGGCCACAGTTAATGCTGAGTATGTTCATAATATTGGCTCTGTCTCACATGTGAATGGCATAGCTATCAATATTATGGGTTCACAGAGCTTTATGACACTGTACTGATCCTAGAAAGTGATAGAAAGACATTGTACAAGTTGTGTTGTGCATCTACTACTGTTGCTAGAAAGTCTATAGGCTAGCAATGTCATAAAGTAGGGACACCACACATAGGTGATCAAATGCTTTGATGGTCTCTGCAATGCTAGATAAATGGTAGGAAATGAGATAAAATCAGATGATCCCATGACATCATATTGTGCTGACTGTTGTAGGCCAATGCATGACAGTACATCTCAGATGTGCTAATGCAGAGTTCACAGCCTGATGTCTGCAGCTCTATTGTCCCAGTCCAGTATAAGCATGTCTTTGACTGATTGTATCAATATGAAGCAGTGCCAATTATACAGTATGATGGTGCTATGCTTGGTTGTTAATTGCTCATATAATTTTTGCCTGGAGCATATCTAATGTCTGTATGCACTACCATCATCCTATTCTCATGCAATGGCCCTTGGTATGTGAAGATAGAATAGGCAGCTCTTGGTTTGTTCATATGGGAAAAATGTATTGACAGTGGTGTCTGTTAGTGCAATGTCTACTATCACTCATATTGCAGTGTATGCTGTGATTTCTTCCTGATTGGGCTCAGAAGAAGTCATGGTTGCCATGGAAATAATGCAGACTTGCATTGCTTACTAAGCAACAGTGAAGAGGCCATATTACAATGGACTTCTGAGCCAATATATGGCTGTCCTTTTATGGATCTCTAGTCAACAATATGACTTTGGGAGTACTCTCATTTCTGCAGCTGTTTCCTTTTACATGTGATGATGAAATATCAGCTACTCATGTTGGGTCCTTTCATGTTATATGGAAAGTGGAAATATAACACTTTAGACCCAGGTGTGAACATGTGTGATATTTGAACAGCATTGATATGTGGCAGTGTGCCTACCAGTACACCATTTGGCAGTTGATCCTGGGTGGTATCTGCCATGCCCAAGGAATGTCAACATGAAAATATAGTGTGTAATCCAAATATAGTACCATACATTGTATGTGCACACAAAATAATGAACAGTCAGCCAGAAAATGACACTGGTGATTATCTTGGGAGTATGTCTGAAGATATAGAAATCCTTGGACTTATGATCAGAGAGCATGACCATTGATAGTAGGCATTACTAGAATACCCAGGAAAGGCCCATATGCAAGTCTTAGTATGCAGTCTGTTGTTAGGGACAAGGCATTGAAACCCCTTTTTCTACAAGAAATTCCATAGATATGGTCTTTGAATAGGGTAGGCAGCAGGAATTGTTATCACTCCTGGGCTTTGTTATCTTTATTCTAGATCCTTTTAATGGACTTCATTTGGGGTTCACAATGCTTTCTGACCAGATTTCAGTGATCTTTTGTTCCCACATTGTTATTCTTTGTGGCACCTATTGGTGTATGTTCTGACTGGACTATTACTATGTTTCTAGTGGTCTCCTTAGACCCCTTGTGAAAGATATTACTGGGGTTCTATTAGCTCAGACTATGTTATCTATTGATATATTATCCCAGCTGGCAGGCAATCTATGAGTGACTAGTGTTCATAAGGCTGTGCTAGTGTTTCAGGACAACATGCAAGTGGTGTGTCATGAATCACAGAGCACATCCTTGATGATCAGTGAGAATTATTGGCACATCTACCCTTGCCTTACAATGAGCCTGTGAGCTTATTGTGCATCTTGAATGGCCTTGGAAAGTGGTGTACTGAGTCTTCTACTATTTTGTAGGATTCTATGAAGTATTTTATGTAGCTAAAAGGCTGTGCATAAATGCACAAAAGGAGCATCCCTCTGAGCAAGTCCAAACATTTATCTCATCTACCACTTGCTTCTGTACTCTTATGCCAGTGTACCTTCAATCCATCAGTGATCAATCCTGCCCATGACTCTATTAGTCTTGATGGCACTTACTATGGTGATACATTGCTTCACATTGTACTACATGAGCCCATTACTATTGACTCAGGAGCTGAGCTCCAATCCAGTAACATACCTTAGTATGGCTTTGTACTACTGGTCAGTGTTTGGTAACTGTTCACTTATGGTGAGAGCAAACTGCACATTCTTTGGTTGTATTCCTTGTATAACACATCAATTCTTGACAGGCCTTTTTCAGAATTCATTACTGGTATACTTCTCCTCTGTATATTGGTTCCATCCTCCACTGTTGATTGGTTTGGACTTGGGGAAGTACTGTTAACAATCTACTGAAAGACATCCTTTGGTATCAGAATTTCTCTGATCAAGGGCTAATACTTGTACAACAGCACTGACAGCAAGTCCCAACTGAGTAGTGGTTACTGTAGTCAACCCCCCAGACTCCCCTTCCTTGAGTTCTAGTTGATCTAGAGGCTCTCCTTACTTCTTTGCAACATTCCCAAGCTATTTGCTCTATGTTACAATCAATACAAACCAGTCATTATGGACTGAACTGTGATGCTCCCATGGGATACACACCATTGCCTGTGGTCATATACCATATCACAGTAGCTTAAGTCACTTTGTCAGACACAATTGTTTGAAAAAACCAGTTGCAACTGGCAAAAGACCAGTCAGGACCAGTCAGGACCAGTTGGGACTGCATGTGCAGTTGCAACCAGTTGCAACCAGTCTTTGGAGGCAACTGGACTGCGAAGGACTGGTCGCAGTCAGTCCAGTCCCAGTCCTACCATTTTGGGGTCAATCTAGGACCAGTCCCAGTCCCAGTCTGTCCTCCAAGGGGTCAAAAGACTGGACTGGACTGGACTTTCAAACACTAGCGAGCTCAGCGGCATGCGCGTCGCCAAATGCATCACTCGCCTTCCGTTTTCCCACCGACTTCTGGGAAGCCGAAACACGTGCATCCGGTGTCCTTGACCCTTTACTCGTAGACGCAGTTACCGTCGTCTTCGCAGTTACAGTCCTCGTCGGCTCAGCGCCAGACCGAGTCGGTGGTGAGGGTGACAGTGAGCGAGCACGGCCCTGGGCCTTGGCAGCCTGTTCCTTCAGACGCGGCGACCGTTTCAGAGGCGTGGGAGGCTGGGAATAGATCAATACTAACAGTGATATGCAAATGCGACCACGTACGGGTGGTACATCATCATCATCGAGCTCAATCGGCTCACTCCGAGGAGTGCTTGGAGCATCCGGGGGGGCAGATTCACCTAGAATCACAGGTGTACCATCTGTGAACATCACCACAGACTCGTCGTCTGAATGGCTATTGTCCTCGCGCACTTGTTTGAACAGCGCCGCCGCCGCCGCCGAGTGATCCTTGCCCGGGTCGGAGGCACTTACACCGACTGGGTTGTAATTCGGTAGCTCACACCACATCGCATGAAGGTCGTCGTAGAACTCCCATTCAGAGCGAATTCTCTCTGATGATACACCGCTTTCACTGCTTCGTAGCTATCAAAGTGTCAATTGCACACACCTTCAATATTACTAACTTCCTCCTCGGGTTTAACCCCACCCCCTGTATCCAAAAGATCTCGTCTGTAGCTTGTATATGTCCGCTTTAGCCTATATCAATAACAGTTAGACATCATAATAATGCCATGATCACGGCGCACCGTGCCTTTGAAAGGCCTGCTGTGTAGACTTATGGAAACGAGCCGCATTTGCGGTCCACTCGGTCTCGAATACTGGATCCTCGCACCAGTGCCTTGCATAGATGTCTTCGGCTACCTTGGCCCACCAGTTGATCTTGGCTACATGACCCTGTATCTTCTTCCGACCGTCCTTCGTAGCTTTCTGAGTCGAGTCGCTGAAGAGCTTGATGCGAAGCTCTGGATTTTGCGTGAGGAAGGAGATGGCTGTGTGGATCCAAGCCGGATTCTTGTCCCATGATATGTCCTTCTCCTTCGTGCGCTTCGGAGGCTGAGAAGGCGTAGGATTGGGCTCCTTGGGCTTTGCTTTCCGTGGCATGCTGAGCTACAGAGGGAGACGGACGACGACCCCCGGACGAGCATGGGCGCGGTCGTCCGCACAGATTACCTAATCCGATTATGTAATTGATTACTCAACATGGTCCAGAAACGGGCACCAGAAAACAACCAGAAACGGTGCAGGAGCAGCGTCCGAGCTGCTCCTGCACTCCAGAAACCATCCCAGGATCTCGTTCAAGAAATTGGCGGAAATCCGAATCAAGATCGACGTAAAAACCGGGCTGGAACCCGCTACGTGAAACACCCTAATGCCTTCTCACCACATTCAGGTGATCTTTTGTTCCTCACATTGTCATGCTGTGTAGCACTTCATTGTGTATGTACTGACTGGCCTATTACCAGGTTTCCAGTACTTTCCTTAGATCCCTTGTGACCAGATGCTTTGTGAGCTGTTACTGGGTGATTATTAGCTCAGAATATTGATGATAATATTCCAGGTGGCAGGCAATCTATGAGTGGCTCATCCAGCTGTACACTATTTCTGAGTTTTCATAGGGCTACACTAGTGTTTCAGGTTATCATCCATGTGGTCCCTCATGTTTCACAGAGCACATGCTTGATGATCAGTGGCAATCATTAACACACATACCCTTGCCTTGCTTTTTTCCTACTTTTTTCGCCTTATTGTGCATCTTGGATGGCCTGGGAAAGTGGTGTACTGAGTCTTCCACTATTTGGATTCTATGAAGTATTTTATGTAGCTAAGAGGGAGTGCAGTTCAGAAATGCTCAAAAGGAGCATCCTTAAGAGCAAGTCCAAACATTTATCTCATCTACTTGCTGCTGTACTCCTCTGTACCTTCAATAGTCCCTGACATCAGTGATCAATACTTCCCATGACTCTATCAGTCTTGATATCATACATTAGCCCATTACTGTTGGCTGAGCTCCAATCCAGTAACATACCTTAGTATGGCTTTGTACTACTGGTCAGTGCCTGGTAACTGTTCACTTCAGTGTACAAATGGTGAGAGCAAACTGGACAGTCTTTGGTTGTATTCCTTGTATAACATGACAATTCTTGAAGGGCCTTTTTCAGAATTCCTTACTGGTATACTTCTCTGTCTACTGTTGATTGGTTTGTACTTGGGGAAGTACTGTTAACAATCTATTGAAAGACATCCTTCTGTATCAGAAGTTCTCTCTGATCAAGGGCTAATACTTGCACAACAGCAAGTCCCAGCTGAGTAGTTGTTACTGTAGTCAACCTCCCAGATTCCCCTTCCTTGAGTTCTAGTTGATCTAGAGGCATACTTCTTTGCAACATTTCCAAGCTATTTTCTCTTTGTTGATATCAACACAAACCAGTAACACTGTTCCTTAGTATTTTGGTAATATTGGTAATTCATCAAGTAAGAAATAGATCCATAATGTCTGTGTTCTCAATGGAGAGTCTCATATCAATATGTAAATACTTACTCAATTGGGATGTTGCTCATAATTGCAAACTATGCTCCTCAAATTAGAACAACATAATAAATTAGCAGGCTACTCTGAATGCTTATGCCATGAGATGGCAGCTAGGTGGTGCAAAATGTGGAAGATATGTCAGTACTCTATGCAGGCAATATATTAGCAGTCTTTCTGAGCTTAACTTCTGATGTAGTCAAAATGTTTTACTCACAAACTGACATGTATCCAACAAAAGGGATCGTACTGCCAGCTATGGCCCTCTCCCCAGCAAGTGGAATATTGAGTTGCATATCAATGTGCTGAAGGGATACTCAATTGGTGAGGGCAAGAGGTAGGTCGCACACCACATACACTCTGATTGACAGACTGGCTGACCATCATCAGGATTGTGGTCATGCTGCAGCTTGTCATGTCTCTGATGAACATCTGTTGAGCTCGAATTTATTCTGCATTTCTGCGGATAATTCTGAGCTCCATTGCCCTGTCCAAGTCACGGAATGTGTCCTGGTGTGTTCTTCTTTATTCTACATGGACACCATCACTATACCGTGCCTACTGTATTTCTTCCGACATCATTCCCTTCAGTCTACCATTCTCAATAATGTTCCCAACTTCAGGGATTTGAACCCCTGTACTCATCCGCTGTTTCTCATTCCTTTGTTGATTTCGACTTTGTGGCTGCTTCTACTGTACAGATGTGGCTGTATTAAGTAATGCATACTGTAGGCAGTCCGACTCTCGTCAAGCTCTAAGTCCCTAAGACTTTACAGAGCTCAAATTAGGCTGTTGGAAACACTCTGAGGTGCACCCAACAAGTAGTCATGGTACACAGAACTTCTGACCACAGCTCAAATGCAGCAGGGCTTGGTGCCACCTGTGTGCAACTTAGCACTGGCTCACACCAACTGTCCTTCTTTTGACCCATGGAGAGATTGATGATGATTCAGCACAATACTTGGGTGACAAAGACAATAAATGAATTTATGAGTGGTAACTATTGCATTTGCTGGGGAGTGGGCCATGCATGGCAATATGATCCCAGTTGTATTGTCTGCATGCATTCATCTCAAGCTTTCATTGAGAGGGTACTCACTGCATGGAACAGCTTGCCAAGCATGCCCATGTTTGATGCTAATAATAATCCCTGGCCCAGTCAATCATTGAGAAATGCACCGGGTCTTGTATGGTACACTTCAGATGCATCAGACCCTTGTGTTTGCAAGGAATATGCTGCTTACCATGATGGCGAGATACAGCAACTTCTTGTGGGCCAGGCCTGTACAGACTGTACCCAGACCTCCAGTGCCTCTTGACTTTGCAATCAATCATCTCATCACCCAAAGTGGTGCGCCTTGCTCACAGCAGAGGTGCCACAGGGGCCACGTCATGCTCAGCTGCAGCATGAGCAGTACTCAAGTGCCTCATTCTGGATTTCAGCAGCCACACACTCAGCCCACTTGTGCATCAGCAAGTACTGTGAGTATTTTATTTATATGGTGCAGCCTAGAGCTGACAAGGCTCAACACAAAGGACTCAGCACATAGTACATACCTGTCAGGCTTGTGAGCTACTCCTTGAAAGCAGTCACCTCATCCAAAAGGTTCGAGCATGGCATTCTTGTTGAGGTTGTTTTGTGGGTGTGTAAGTTTTGGATAGAGGAGCTGTTGCTTCACAATCTGGTGAGTTGGGTGAGGGTGGTTTATGAAGGTGAATTAGCACCATCTGTGCATCTATACAGAGCATTACTGACATATTATGAAAGTGATATGGAGCAGAACCAGCTCTGCAGGAATGCATGATAGTCTGGAAGTGGGGCAGGGGGAAAATGAGGTGAGCAATAAGATGCACAGTGATGACCTTATGCTATTCCACCCACTCATTGTTTGCTCTCATTTGTTCCATCATTTTAGAGTAGGCAGTAGTGGAGCAACTCAGTTGACAGTGTGACCTGTTGCCTGCAGTGCACCTCAGAGCAAATTCCAAAGGCCTAAGTTGAGCTCTGCAAAGTCTTTATTCGAAGAAGCAAAAATACACACCTAAGTCAGGCTCTATAAAATTTTAGGGACTTAGAGCTCAACAAGGCGGTCCGGACCGTCTGCGGTGTGCATTACTTAACAAAGCCACATCTATACAGTAGAAGCAGCCACAAAGTCGAAATCAACAAAGGAGTGAGAAAAAGCGGATGTGTGCAGGGGTTCAAATCCCTGAAGTTACAAACTTCATAGAAAAAGGTAGACAGAAGGGAATGATGTCGGACAAAATAGGGTATGCATGGCATAGTGATGGTAATGTAGAATAAAATAGAACACACTAGGACACATTCCACGACTTGGACAGGGCAGATGGAGCTCAGAATACTCTGCAGAAATGCAGAATAAATTTGAGCTCAACATCCACACTCTCCATCCACACTTTGGTTACTGGTATGAGGATGAGAAGCTTTTGAATACCTTCAACGCTTCTGACAAGGACAGATATGCACATAACCATACCGTGAACCCTTTCTGGCCATTCCCAGATGAAGCCAAGCCAGAGTTGGCAGAATGGCTGAATAAGGCACTGACCTCAAGACAGATAGACTTGCTGTGGAGAGGGCCATAGCTGGCAGTACGATCCCTTGCACTGATGTGGGAGAGGAATGCAAATGAAACAGTGGATACTATCCAGGAAATGGAAGATGCACGCTGAAATCCTATGCTCCTTCCCTAGTGTTCCTCCAGTCCTTCCTCCACCGTTATCACGGTGCAGCCATCTTCACCTTCGAAGGATGGGGATGGTGGACGACCTTCCAGTTCACACATAGGTACTGACAAGGTTTCTGCAAACCCACAGGCTGTAGGAACAGCAAGTCGACAAATCCCACCTTCATGGAGCACAAAGGTACAATGGGCCGCTCGCCTCGCACGTAGCTCCCTGTGAGATCCATGTCTTTGATGAGGGACTCTCTATAGAGAGGGATCTGGCAGAGAGGGAGAGGGAAGTCTTGCACGGGTGTATCTGCCCGGATGAACTCGTTTGTGATGGTGTAGAAATAGTCGTACACTGTTAATACACGAGATTTTGCCTTGTTCAGCCCCGGAAAGACCTGGATTGTCAATGTTACACTGTGTCTCCATGAGCACCTCACAAAGTACAATACAAATCATTCACTAACCTTGGTGCTGAGCCGTCGTCCATCCCACTCAAGCCCAGTTCTTTGCGGTCGACTCATACCACTGACTCGGATCAGCTTAGATTCACCAATGCAAGCTGTTGTCTGGAAGCGGCACATGGGTACAATGACAATAGGATAGGAGGTCACGGTCATGGACATTGCCTGAGAGGCTATGTATATATGCAGCATACCTTGTCAGGAGGATGATAGAAGAGCCTGAGGCTCATTGTCACATAGATGAAAGAGCTTCTTCATGGTGGTGAGGAACTCGTAACAAGGGGGGTTCAGCACAGACTACTAAGAAACCCTGAAATTCAGAGTAAGGACCTGAGGTGTACCATTTTACCTCCGGACAGTCCTAATCTTTCTTGGCTGTTAGTCACTCACATATGCATGTCACAATTAGAACATCGGAAACTATCAAATAATCGGTCTCAGGAATATCCATCACTCAATTAACCTTGGAGTGTCACTACCTACCTGTGAATATTGTGCATGTTGTGAGTGGATTAGATGGTCATCATGAACCTTCGTGCTGGCCAGTCTGGATAGTTCTTTGCTGAGTTGGCCTGCTTCCTATGACACTTCCGGATGCCAGCTTGGAGGCAGGCATGTGCTGCAACAGTACACAGAAGGATGCTGATCATCTGACGGACATCAAGAAATGCGGCGACTGATGGTTGTTACTGACTTACCTTGAGTGAGAAGGATTCCCGAAGAATGTCGGGTCATTGTAGCTCGTACAGAAGTGTTCGTCTTCCGCTCACAAAGGCAATGAAAGATCAATATAAGACACGACAACAACAGAAGCACAACTCAAGTGGAACCACAACTCAAGTGGAACCACAACTCAAGTGGAACTTACTCCTTCCTGCATGTTGGTTGCATCAAACTCCTTGGAGCGCAGATCCTCCGGCTCTGAGCAGACCTACTCTTTTGTTGACTTCATTGGGTTTGTTGGCAGCTCCGTCCAGTAAAGTCAAACACAGAAGAACCTAAGATTGAAGTCAGTCAGTGGAAACAGTAGTATTGGACTGCTCATGGATGAACTGGAGCACATGAGCTGCCAAAATGCAACAGCCGCATATGGCACACTGCCCAGCGGAACAACGTAGACATGCCCATATCCCGTTGTCCATTTACGGTGATGTTGGGCTCACGGTGCGCCCCTTTGACAGGATTCCCACACCCTCTGCAATTCGCATGGTTCACGAAGCTGTCAGCAGCAGCTTTGGGGGGATCTCTGTCAATGCTGTACCTGCCTCATCAGCGGAATAGCAGTGGACCGGTGCTTCCCATCACCTGTCAACTATGTCACTTTGTGTGACGGCCGACTATCCAAATTCCGGTGTGTTGACGACTCCGCTTCGGCAACAGGCGCTTAACTGAGCGCTTAGTAAGCGATGTAAGTGCACCCTTTACTGCAGCAATTCTGAGTTGTTTTTGGCCCAGAAAAGTGCAGTAAAATCGGATAATATTCCAGGAGATCTGTGGAGCATTTCGGAGCATATCCACAAGTAGAGAGGATTGTCCTGTATAGTTATTTAGTGCTGGGACATCAAGACATGCTTGCTATGACAATATTTCTCCATTTGTAGCACTGCTGTGCATGTTGCAGAGACATCAATGTGTTGGAAACTATTCACTTGGCCATAGAGGACATCTATCATGAGTTTTAGATGCAACAGAACACATTCATATTCACAGAGTCACTTCTGTTTTTATATTAGCATTTTGCTACTCATTCAACCACTATTTCTCAAGAAACTATGATAGACACTATGAATGAAGTGCTATGAGATGAGCTTATGATATCTATAACAGTTGGTTGGAGCTCAGTCAGTGTATCCCAGTCAAATGCCCCCAAATCCTGTCTACAGAGATATGTGTTTCTCTGTTGTCTGAATTTTGACTATGGACAAGTCATACTAGTCATAGCCTAGTTATATATCTGTCTGTGCAATAAACTCACATATACCCATAGCAAATACCACTTCAAGACATCACATCTGACCTCAGTCAGTGTTGGGCAGATGGTTGAAGTGCAGTCATCCTTTGTGACTGTACCACGGGGCAAAGACAAGTACAAACTGATATGCAAGCTTTGTTCTATTTGTGTACTTGACCGCAGCATTGAGAACGTGACTCATGTACATTGTGGTATTGAACGGCACATACCAACAATTGAATCAAGAACATATTCAACTGGCATTGCAGAAGACATCTCCCACCCGCAAGGTCAAGCGAGTTGTTGGGTATGATGATGATGACAGTGATGTCGAGGAGACACGGGATGAAGTGAAGCGCATGCGGATTGATGAGGACAATGGGTCTTAAGTCACACAATAGTTGTCAATCCATCATTGCTGGTCATTACATATAGTTGGCGAGATCACATTACATCATATGTGTGGAGTTGAATCCACAGAACAAAGAGGAGTTGAGTCCCCAGCACCTACAATTGGTAGTACACATCCTCCTCATCCTCATCCTCATCATCAGCCACCTCTTCACCTTCATGCAATTCCCGGAACCACTTCCCATGCTCCTTATCCAGCTTCGTTGGGTCATATGAGACCTCCCAGAGGCACCGATAGGTGCACATCTTGTTGATGCACTGGTAGCCTGCAAGATGTCTCTTGTTATGGCCCGTCCTGCTCTCCAAATAGCACAGAGCTTTGCAGATAGGGCACTGGTACAGGAGTGGATGGCCAGCAGGTGCAAGTTTGGGATGGTGCCAGACGTACTTCTCGACATCCACACGTCTATCGCTCATCAAGCTTTCATAGCGGAACATGACAATGCTGCTGTGACGATGAAGGGTGAAGGACATGCCTAGCATCTTGGACATTGTATCCACTTTGGGACAGCTAGCTCAATGATGACGCGGGTTGCAAAGTGACCGACAAAATCAGAGCAGAGGTGCACATTCAGAGTGGCAGTCATGAACCCCAACATGAAGGGGACCTTGTACAGTAACAGCTGTTCCCTGAGTGCCTCGAGAGACTCATTCTTGTTGACAATGGCACCACAGGCAAGGATCAACATGTAGTGGAGGCGTATAACATGGCAGAGCTTCTTGAAGTGCTCCATGAGGACAATCGTGAACCACTACACAATGATTAGATAAGTATGTGTTGAGACAACACATGATGTGTTGAACTCGGAATTTATTTCGCATTTCTGCGGATTATTCTGAGCTCCATTGCCCTGTCCAAGTCGTGGAACGCATAGTGGTGTGTTCTTTCTTATTCTACATGGACGCCATCACTATACTGTGCATACTGTACTTTTCCACGTCATTCCCTTCAGTCTACCATTTTCTATAATGTTTGCATCTTCAGGGATTTGAACCCCTGCACTCATCCGGTTTTTTCACTGCTTCGTTGATTTCGACTTTGTGGCTGTTTCTACTGTACAGTTATGGTCACCTTACGTAACGCACACCGTAGACAGTCCGCCTCGTCGAGTTCTAAGTCCCTACGACTTTAAGAGCTCGACTTAGGTGTGTATCTTCGCTTTCTTGAATAAAAAGACTTTACAGAGCTCGACTTAGGCCTTTGGAATCGCTCTGAGGCGCACTGCAGTCAACAGGTTATGAGCCCCATGCTCTGAAGGCCTCCAGACGTCCATATCCGCCTATTCAAACACTCTGTGGCCCTCCCAAGGTGTCCCCCTTCGCTCTCTCAGCCTTCCTGCGCTTTTAAGCCCCTGTCTTCACCCCTATTTGATCTTTGGTCGATATCTTGCTCGTCTCTGCGCCCGCCGTTTTACCCCGTTCTTCGCTCGGTCCATCCATCCGCACGTCGCCCTTCAAGTCGTCATCATGGCGCCGTCCCCTGCTTCCTTCCCAAGCTGGTGACACCAATCGCAACTACCAGCAATGGAGGCTTGACATGGAGGCCAGACTTCGCACTCTTGCAGCTCTTCGCATTGTGAAGGGCTCAGAGACCAGCCAGGCCTTCGTTTACCCAGCCCCTGGACGCCTCAGAACACCGAGATATGCGCGATTTCGAGAACAGGAGGGACCTGGCAGCTGGGGAGATCTGGGGGTGTGTGGAGAGGGAGCAGCAGACGCATCTGGAGGCGATTAGGGATGACCCTGAGGCGATGTGGTTGAAGCTGGAGTCTGTGCACATGCAGAAACGACCTGGTACGTGTTTTAACACCTACAACGCGCTCCTGAGCCTCTCCAAGGCCGAGGACGAGTCCCTGTCGACGCTTTCGACGCGAGCTTCGCAGCTCAAGTCCGATATGAAAGCCCTTCGTCCCCAGGACTTCGACATCGCTAAACTCGACGATGAGCTCGTTCTGATGGCTTTAATCCGCGCCCTGCCCGCTGAATTCGCCTCTCTTCGCCAGACCCTCTTGCTGGACGACGCCCTCACGCTTGAGAAGCTCCAGGACACATTTGTCGCCCTAGAAAATCAGCCTGGTGCGTTATCGACGATCCCTGTCCTCTCCCAGGTTGCTGCCGCCATCATCTGTGCTTTCTGTGCTCGCTCTGGCCACTCCGAGGAGCAGTGCTTCTCCAAATGTGATGCTAGTGTCAAAGCGAAGGAGAAGGTGTCCCAGCGCACGCAGTTTCGCTCTGGAAAGGGGAAGGACAAGATGAGGGAGGCGAATGAAGCATCAAAAACCGTCCAGGATGCGCAGGATGCATCCCAGGAGTCCGCTGGAGCGGCCACTGTGAGTGCTGGTTGCGCCTCTGCCCTCCTATCCACCTCGGATTGCGCCTCCTGGCTTTCTACGCCTGCAGCAGCTAACTGGAACACCGACACAGGTGCTTCTGCACACATGACGCCTCACCGCCATTGGTTTCGCTCCTACTCTCCCCATTCCATCCCCATTCGCCTCGCCAACTCGCACATCGTCTATTCGGCTGGACTAGGGTCTGTGGTCTTTCAACCTGCGGAGAGGGATGGAGTTTTACCGCCAGCTGTTGTACTGCACGACGTCCTTCATGTCCCTGCGCTTGCCAGCAATTTATTGTCCGTTTTTCACCTCACACGTGAGAAGGGCTACGTCGTCGAGCTGCAGGCTGCGAACACGTTTTTCTACCAGGAGGGAGAACTCCGCTTTGAGGCGCGAGTTAACGAGCACAACGTCGGCTACCTGCTAGGCCAGACTGTGTCTCAAATGAAGACTGCGTTGTCCGCTTCGACGACTTGCGATCTGGACCTCGCGCTTTGGCACCAGTGTTGCTCGCACGTCAATCTCGACGACCTCCGAATGGCGCACTCGAAGGAGCTCGTTTCCAGCCTCACCATCCGTTCAAAGTGTACACCTGATCCCATCTGCAAGCCTTGCCTAGCTGTTAAGCTGCATCAACACTGTATCCCTCGTTTTGCGTCCAGAAACTTTGTCTGCATCACCCTCGTCCACACCAACCTCAAGGGCCTCTCCCGACGCCTACGCCGGAGGGGCACATTTATTGGATGACATTTATCTGCGACTCTTCAAGGTTTTGGGTTGTGGCGTTCCTGAAGTGCAAAAGCGACGTGTTCTCTGTGTTCCAGGCGATCAAGGCGTACGCCGAAAACGCCCTAGGCCTCGTCCTGAAGGCTACACACAATGACAAGGGTGTGGAGTACATGGGCAAGCAGTTCGTCGATTTTCGCGCTCAGCATGGCATCCAGTGTCAGCACACTGAACCAGACGAACCCCACCAGAATTGCGTTGCAGAGCAAGCTAATAGGACAATTGCTGTGGGTGGAACTGCCCTCCTTGCTCAGTCGAAGCTCCCTCCGTTGTTTTGGAGCCATGCTGTCTCTACCTTCGTCCACACGAGGAACCGCATGCCTACGTCGTCCCTGCGAGGTGCTGTGCCCAGGGCTGCCTGGAAAGGTGATGGGCGCAAGCCAGATGTCTCCCACTTCCGCATTTTTGGCTGCTTTGCCTATGTGTTGGTACAAAAGAGGGACCGCAAGGCGATGCAGCCGCACACGAGAAAGTGCATTTTTGTGGGCTATCCTGAGGGCACCAAGGCCTGGCGATTCTGGGACCCTGCTGCGAAGAAATTCATCATTTCGTCGCATGCTGTCTTTGACAAACACTGTTTCCCTGGAAATTCACCCTTCATAAATGTCTTCGCCCTCCCTTTCGACGATGTCGACATCCCAGGACCCACTGACGGCGACGGTGAACCCGCTGGAGACGTCCCTGATGCGCCAGAGCTGCATGATCAGGGGGGAGACCACTCTGATGATCCTGCACCTCCTGCACCTCCACCGCAAAATCCGCTCTCTGCGCCCCAGGATGTCCGCGACTTGACAACTATGATGGATACAGGCCTGCCTCGACGCCCAAGCCTGGCCAATGGGACGAAACACCTCAGCGCAACTCTCCGTCACCTGATCCTCTCATTGAAGCACCACTGAATCCACCTGCTGCACCTGCTCTGCTTCCTGAGCCTGTTTATCTACCCTCTCCTACCTCCAGCGACGACAAACTCGATTTCTTGTGTGGAGATGGACATGAGGACACCTTTGGCTGCTTGCTGGACGCAATGATTGCAGGCGTTCAGCACGTGTACTCTGCTGAAAGCGAGGATTTCTTGTCCTATGACGAAGCCCTTGATTTTGTGTTTGAGTCTGTGTCCCAGAATACGTTCAAGGCGGACCAGGAGCGCTTCAGCAAACCTAGGACCTTTGCAGACACGATGAAGCGACCCCAAGACGAGCAAGAGAAGTGGCTCAAGGCTGCTCAGGACGAAAGGATGAGCAAGAGAAGTCGCTCAAGACTGCTCAGGACGAAATCCAGTCCCTCGTTGAAAATGGGACCTTTGAGCTTGTTCAGCTGCCTCCCGGACGCAAAGCCATTGGTTCCCGGTGGGTTTCCCGCGTCAAGCGCAATGCTGACGGCTCAATTGAGCGGTACAAGGGCCGCCTCGTCGCCAAAGGCTTCTCCCAGCGTCCTGGCTTCAACTACAACAAAACCTTTGTTCCTACGCCGAAGTGGGCGTAGATTCGAGCCATTCTTGTGCTTGCAGCCCTGGATGACCTCGAGCTCGAGTCTGTGTACATCTCCTCAGCCTATCTAAACGGCGAGCTGAAGGAGGAGGTGTACATGCCGCAGCCAGAGGGCTTTGAGCAGAAAACTCCGAATTGGGTGTGGCGTCTTCTGAAGGCCCTCTACAGTCTGAAGCAGGCTGAATGATGCTGGCATGAGAAGCTGCACGAGGTACTCATAGAACTCGGATTTTCGTGGCTGATCTGTGAGCACAGTGTCTGGGTCTACCTTCGAGATACTCCGCGCATCATCATCCCTGTCTTTGACCATTGCAGCGAAGTCGAAAACCGTGATTCAGCGCATCAAGGACGACCTTTGTACGCACCTCAAGCTCAGGGACCTTGGGTCGATGTCCTGGCTCCTAGGAGTCAAGATTGAGCGCGATAGAGCGAAGCATTCACTTTCAATTTTGCAGCAGCAGTACGCTCTCGACGTCCTGGAGCGCTATGGCTTCGCAAACTGCAACCCTGTGGGCACCCCGATGGAGCCTGGCCTTCGTCTCAGGGCAGACATGGCTCCCAAGACGTCGTCCGAGGTCAGGGAGATGCAGAACATCCCATATGATGGGCTGTGGGTTCGCTTTTCTACCTTGCTGAGGCAACTCGTCCAGACATCGCACACACTGTGGGCAACCTGGTGTGTTTTACAAAGAACCCTGGCATGACGCACTGGAAAGCAGTCAAGCACCTCTTCTGATACATCAAGGGCACCCTCAACTACAAGCTCACCTACTCCCCTTCGTCCGATTCCGAGATTTTTGCCTCCTACACCGACGCTGACCACGCTGGCTGCCCTGACACCGGTCGATCCACCTCTGGATATGTCGTTGAAATGGGTACAGGTGCGATTTCGTGGTCCAGTCGTCTTCAGACCATTGTGGCGCTCTCTACGACGGAGGCAGAGTTTGTTGCAGCGGTCTCAGCAGGCCAGGAAATTACGATCCCTGAGGTACGAAGGTATCGTTCTTATGATGGACCACCATGAAACGCCTTAGTGATTCCTCCGGAATGGCAGTTTGTTCCCACAGTGCACGTGACTTGCAGCCACCCCGATAAGCAGAGATAAGTAACTGTTAGTATGGG